TGGCAGCATTACCATCGACTCCGTCCCTCTTACCCGCATTCCTCGTCAAACCATCCGCAGCCGCCTCATCGGCCTACCTCAGGACGCGTACCTACTACCCGGCTCGATCCGCCTCAACGCCGATCCTTTGAGAGAGTCGAATGACAAGGCCATCATGGCCGCGCTGAAAGACGTCCAGCTCTGGGACATCATTGTGTCCAAGGGTGATGTCGACAAGTACGCGCATCCGCTAGATGTCGAGGTCGAAGACCTCCACTTCTCGCACGGACAGCGCCAGCTCTTCTGTTTAGCGCGTGCCATGCTCAAGAAGGACAAGTCCACCGTGGTCGTCATGGACGAAGCCACCAGCAAGTAAGTCATCGCACATCCCATCGCACTTTCTTAATACTAACAATGACGCTTAGTCTCGATGCTGCAAGCGACGCCCATGTTCAACGCCTTCTTCGCTCCCGCTTCCCACACCACACACTCATTACCGTCGCGCACAAACTCGACACCATCCTCGACTTCGACAAGGTCGTCGTCATGAACAAGGGCCAGCTCGTCGAGTACGGCTGCCCGCACAAGCTGTTGGACCGCCAAGGAAGCTGGTTCAAGAGCCTCTACGAGGACACCGCACGAGGAGGAGACGTAGAGGACGACGATGACGATGACGCGATAAACACCGTATCGCGATAGGCACAGAACTGGACATATACATAATGATAATGGGGTGACGAGTTCATTTCTTTGCACATATGTCTGCGGGTATACAAAACATTTCCTCCTGTCATCACATCGGAGCCAAAAGGCGTTGGGGCATAGCAGACTGTGATTATTTATTTCCACCTCTATATTTATGAAGAAGCCAAGAGGTCTTCATGGTATCATCAGATGTTAATCACACTTTCATAATAAATACAATCATACTCCAGATCCTCCACAGAAATCAAGACGCACGTGAAAGCTCTACCATAACCTCCTGGCCTTGGTTCCTGAAACCCTGTAGCAACCAATTCTTGATACCGGCGATGACGTTCTCGGGGTTGCCATCGACAGTGTAGGCGGCCACCATGTCGCTCTTGATATACACCAGACGGAGGTGCTTCAGGGACTTGTTGTCGAAGATGGATTTCATCCCATACTTCCGAACAATATCCGCAACCGACCTCGTCACCCTTCTCTTAGCCCTCTCAGGATCCACCCGTTCTAACTCTTGAAGCTGTCTCTCACCGAACATCGAATCTGTAACCGTCGACGTATGCAGAGTGAAAGTCATCTCTTGTAGCTCAGGCAGACTTGAAGCGAGAGCGAGATACGGGTTCGAACTTCGGTTATCGGTAATCCCGGAGAACCAGTGAAAGCCGTTCATGTCGACTTTGAGGATGTTCTTGTCGATGTCGGGAAGGACTTGCAGCATATCGCCGATGAAGTAGGTGTCGGTGGTAGAGGCGACGGTGAAAGTCAGAAGGCGGATGTAGGGAAGGACGGTGTTGTTCCATTCTTCTTCTTTTTCGGCGTTGAAAGTGATACCTTTGAGGAACTGGGGGCGACCGGGATTGGCTTCTGGTGTACTGGACTCGGCGGCGATGTCAACGGTGAAAGGGCCTAAGGAGATGGTATGGTTAGAGTTGGTGGATACAATGAGGAGAGGGGACTTCTTTACTATTGCAAAGGATGTTCCAGACGGCGATGTTGGCGTCATCGGGTACACGGACATGAGCCAATCCGTGGGCTTGAAGGTTGCCAGTGGTAGTGGGGTTGTTGGAGGTAGACATGGTGAGGGCGTGTATATCTTCTGGGTGGTGGCTCGGGTATGGGAAGAAGGATGATAATGTAGTGAAGTATAGCAGGCAGTGAAGTCTTGAAGTGTAGGTAAGGAGTCCAAGTCTAGTGGTGGTAGGGGATTCTTATATATGGCCTCAGTGCGAGACTGGGCTACGTCGTGCTCACCTGCCATAATGCCCGTGTGACAAGAGCGTTTACTTGAGGCAAAGGAGAAGGTCAAGCCAAAGGCGAAGAGGAGACTGATGACGCGATCAATAAATGACCAACGGAGCCATGTCTAGTATAGTTGACAATGTGAGAGCGATAGTGGGCTGGTAAACGCGCATTTTAGCGCTATCTATACATGATTTATATTCGCAATTGCGTCCAGTGTGCTCATGAGGCTCTATCATCATATCAAAGAAGACGTCAGGGGCCATTTGCATGTGACAAGACTCTCTCATTGCCGTTTGTATCCTCATTCACGTCAAGTCAGGGGACTACATCAGGTCCAGTTTGACATGGAATCGGTGTGGCAGCGCTCCGCAGAAAATGATGCATGCGACTGACTATAGCAAACGCTCTGAGAAAGCCGGGTATCCGCAGATGTCCGAGTCTCGGTCGAAGCTCTGTCTGGTATGACGACAAATCTTGCATTGAGAGAATCGTCGTTTTGAGATATCGTAAAGTGAGGGATGTGTGCGCAGAGCGATTCGAGTCAAATGCGTTCTGCGAGTGTAAATGTCGGTCCCTCCCAACGAACAACTACTAATCACCGAAACTATTTCAGCAATAAAGTTGGGGCCGGACAGAATGTTAATGTATGGTGTTGTTCGCGGAGTAATCAAGACGGGCGGCGGGTCATTATCTGACCGGCTAAACTTCGCTGCTGACATAAACCCGGCCGTGTCTGTGACGCGACACGACACTCGGCGTTGGAAGGATCGTCGGAATGCCCAGAGTAATCGCGGACCCGTTTCACAGCCCCGGGGCCGTCGCATGTCCCAGGGCGCGCTCTACACACTCATGAACACCCTCACGATGATATCCAGCTAACGATAGGTATCACTGACTTTTGCAGCTTGCTCCTTGCGTCCTTTCTCTTTGTTACCGTCGCGCCATTGGCATGCGCGTCAGCCACATACCCGCCCCCCTTCGTTCCTCCCGCCGTACGTCCACGAGCTATCGCAATGGCATTACAATTGGGTTCGCCGCGAGAATCCCTAGAAGAAGATGGAGCCCTCTTGACCCCGACAGAACCGGCCTTCCTGCCACCGCACAAACCGACCAAGAAGCCATGGGTACTCCTCGTAGTGCTCATCTTTATCATTGTCGCAGTCGTCGATGTGGGTGCCTACCTTGCCGAGCCACCTCTGACACGTCTATTTGAGGAGAATCTATGTCTCAAGTACTACCGCAAACAAGACCCTTCGGTGATCGATGGCGACGGAAGCATACCAGAGCAGCTGTGCAAAGTGGATGTGGTGCAGCAGAGACTCGCGACCATTTTTGGCTGGCAGGACATGTTCAGCGCGATACCGGGCATTCTTTTGGCTGTACCATATGGCACCTGGGCAGACAAAGTAGGGCGGAAGTGGATCGTCACAGCAAGCTTGGTCGGGTTGGACCTTGCCTTCGTCTGGGTGATGATAATAAGTAAGACGGCATTGCACGAATCTTGTATATATGCTAACGTATGGGTAGCCTACTTCAATTCTCTCCCTTTACAGCTGACGTGGTTCTCGAGCGCCTTCACGATCATCGGCGGCGGTCCAATCGTAGCCATGGCTATCGGTGTAACAATGATCTCCGACATTGTGCCTCCAGAAAAGCGAACGACGGTCTTCCTATACCTGACGGCCTGTGTCCTTGTTGCGGAAATGCTGGCACCGATAATGGCAGCGAGGCTGATGGAGAGCGGGAACTGGCTGCCTCTGCTATTGTCACTAGCGATACAGCTCATGGGGGTTGTTGTGGCTCTGTTCATCCCCGAGACGCTGCACCTGCGCGATCTGCCTGAACCCAAGGACAGCGGAGACCAGGTCTTCGAGCTACAGCCCACGCCTACAACCAGCCACTTTTCGCTGCGAGCACAACTCCGCAACTTCCAGGATGCAGTGCACTTCCTGAGGAGCGATTGGACCTTGAGCCTGGTCGTCCTTACGTTCTTGGCCAATAGACTGGGCAGACAGTGCATCTCGCTCCTGGTCCGTTATGCTTCGAAGCGTTACAACTGGGAGATCAAGAAGGCCGCCTACTTGCTCTCATTCCGCGCAGCCACCAACTTGGTGGCTGTCACTATCTTGATCCCACTAGCAAACTTCTTTCTCTTGAAGAAGCTGCGATTCCCTGCACACTGGGCTGATCTCTGGATCGCACGCGGATCCATAGCTTTTACTACCATTGCCTTCTTCGTCATGGGTATTGCCGCACATCCTTCACTTCTGATCATTGGGCTTCTCATTTACAACATGGGAACTGGTTACACCGCTGCAATGCGATCCGTTTCCATTCATGTTGTGGGCGGTCAGTCGAGTCCTGATATTGGCAAGCTCATGAGCACCATTGCGATTGCAGAAAGTATTGGCGCTATGATCGCGGGCCCACTGCTGAGCGAGCTGTTCCAGGTGGGTATTGGTCTTGGCGGCGCCTGGCTTGGTTTACCTTTCTTGACCTCCGTTGTGGTATTCGCGTTCATGACTGTTGTGACGAACTATATTGACGTGGGGGATAAAGAGCCGTCCTATGTGCCGGTGCACGACGAGGATGAGGAAGAGATACGCACGAGTGCGCTGGACCATGAGGAACTCGCCAGGCATAGAGACCTGCCATGATCTTGATATACAGACAGACTGCCTGGCCCACATTTAGACAATTCGACTTCTCATGCGCGATCGCGAAGGCTTTCTTTTCCATTTGGGGCGCATGTCATCTTATCAAGGTAGTAAGACTTCCCCAGGAAGGTGCGTTCCAGAGACAGCGGTATCTCCTACCATGCGAGGCCTGAAGTCGCCGCTTCTTCCACAGCACAAGCAGTGACTTACAAGACTGCAACTGCCGCAACAACATTTGGCTGCTGTGTCTTTCTTCCCACATGTTCGAATGCATCACCTCTCATACCATACCGTTGGTCGTGCTTCATTACCGCTGTTTCTGCTATATGCCGTCAACACGTCTTTAGCACTGCTTCGCTAAGTTGGCCGCACCCTCTTACCACACTACTCCAGCAACCACAGTTTTATCCTGCCACTCCGATGCTTGCTCGTGCGAATAGCGATGCAGGTACCCGACTCCGCCGGTCTAAGTCTGCCTCGACCGTCCACAAACGTCCCACTTCCATCGCCGAACCGCTGGATCTAGATGCGATCAAACAGCAGGCCCTGGCTGCAGCCACTGCTGCCTTTGCTCGTGCGCAGGCTCAAAATGCGGCAGACCGTAATGCAAAACGCAGTGTCGAGCTGGCGAGATCGAAGAGCAACGCCAGCCGCAAGTCTCTCACCTCCCAGGGCAGCCACTTTCCTCCTCGCGACTCGAGCTTCCGGTCTTTGCAGCGTCCGACGGCCGAGCAGACGAGAAGTGCTCAACGCCTGTCTCAAGCTTCAGCAGACTCTATGGAACAGAACACAGAGCAATTCCCGCCCTTCTATCCTACTCCCAGCGTTCATGGGTCGCTTTCCATACCGCGATATCTATCGACGCAGCCTTCGATCACGTTCAGCGAAAATGCTAGACCTAGTTCCCAACCGAAGTCCTTCAGGCAGAGTGCTTCATCCTCAATTACCTCGCAGCAGATACGGAAGGCGCGTTCCATGTACTACGCAAGCAGTGTTCAGACGGGATCACCGATTGCTCGGCCGCCGTCCAAGTATCTTACAACACCACCTGTAGCAAGCATCAGCCCGGTATCAGAACCCTCGCCCATACCTCTACCCTCTCGAACGATTCGGCCGTCACCACTGGCAGGCCCGCGTATGCCGGTCACAGTCGGACCTGACACTACGCTTGACAAAGTACGAGATGAGTATCTACAAGACTTTCAGCAGAAGGCGGTGAAGCACAAGCCGTCGATGTTTCTAGCGCCCTTCAAGAAACGACAAGACAAAGGAAATGATAAGGGCAAGCGTGTCGCGTCGGAAGCGCAATCGTTCTCTACGAATTATCAGCAAACACCCGACGAGTCGACGGTGGATCTTGCTTTGAGCGACTTCGTGCCACCCCAGGGAATCAAGGAAAAGAGATCGTTTTCTGGCTCCCTCAAAAGCAAGATCAAGAAGGTCTTTCGGCGCACGTCGGGCAAGTCGACCATTCTTCCTGTTCAGCAGATCGATGCCAGCCGTGACTACTTCCATACTGCGCACTACAGTCCACCCACTGCGAAAGAAGGACTCAGTATTCCTCCGCCTAACGAAGAAACATTGAAACGCATTCGTGCTCGGACACCGTCACTTGAAGGCGCTTACCCCGCATTTCTACGATCTGGATCCAGAAGCAACAGCACTGGAAGTGCACGGAGTAACCGGAGTCTTCACAGCGAAGCTAATGCTGCGAACATATCAGCTTCTCGAGTTACAAGTTGGGGAACTACTACCACCAGCGACACGCTGACACAACGTGCCATGAAGCGAATGACCGTTATCCATGAGTCTAAAGATAGCATTGGGAGCGAGGCAGACCGTGCGGCATCTACGAGTGCTTCGCGAAGGAAGTCTCTGCCTCTCCCACCTCTCGCTGCTTTCCGCGATCCCATGCCCATGGAGATCCTCACTGAAGAGTCACTTACGCCTGTCGATCCCAAACGCGTCTTTTCTGCATTGATGAAAGAGATAGGATCGTCAAAATCACAAAAGTCTTCAAGCCCCGCCAAACGAACACCAGGCGCAGAAAGCGATGTTTTTGAGTCCAGTACTACCAAGCTGTTCTCTCATACACGAGAATTGCATTCCAGTGGAAGTCGAAACCTTCGTAGCAGTATCGATCTAGAACAGCGACCACCATCACGACGACCGGCCACGTCCCAAAGCACTCAGAGCAAGACCAGCACGATCAGATCTTTTGGACGGGCGATCAGATCCACCATCCGCACAGTCACACCCATCGGACAACACTCATCACCTGATCCAGGCCCTATCAGTCGTGTGGATGGCATGAAAGGAGTAAATCGAAGAGAGGAAACGATGCCTTCGGCAGGCAGCACGCCTGAGTCTGATGATACACAGACCGATAGTGATGGAGCTGAGCGCAATTGTGCCGTTCAGATGTTTACTCCAACGACATCGCAAATCGAGAAGCGTGTAGAGAGAGCTAAAGACTGTTGGAAGACTCCTCTGGATGGGGCAGAGCACGTCCAGTTCCCGCGTGAAACTGGCAGAACTTACGATGTCGCATCGTTTGTTCACCGGACTGATGACTTCACGAAACCGGCTGTTCAAGATGACAAAGAAGTTGCACCGGGCGCTCGTGGCATGGCTGGTCAATTCCCACGAAGACTGCCTGTTTCGCCTAGAGTATCCGTATCACCAGCTTCTCACACTGCCATGACGCCAATGTCTCCCAGCATCTATTCACGAAACACAGATGGCGTCAGCATCCTTCCTAATGACAGTGTAATGTCTTTCGGAGGGCCTGGTGAGGTTGAGCAATCTCAGGATGGCGGCTCAGCAGTCGTTTCAACTAGTCGGTCAATAAGAAGCTACGTTGTGGGGACGCCTTCTCCCCATCGTCGCGAACCTACTCGGACTAGTCGTGACTGGAGGGCTTGGTTGTCGCATGAGATCTCTGGTATGGAGCTTACCAGTCAAGAAGATTTAAGAATTCATGATCGGTATACCACTCCATCAAAGAAAGTCAGACCAGATTCGAGCTGTACATCACGTACAGAACACGAGGACACGACAGTGGTTCTTAGGGGATCGCTCGATATCTCCACGCCGCGACCGCATGCCGATGATACAAATGAGACTACTGAATCGACTGTCACCCGCGCAGGAGATCTCAAGCGTCGCGATGACGATGGCGCACGTGCTGCGACGTCAGACGCGGAGAAGTCTTCGTCGCACATCGGCACTCGCGACAGCAACCATACCCCAGTTCGACAGATTGTTGATACTGAAAAGCTCATCAAATACTCTCAGCCCGAATCGAGGTCTCTTTCGAACAGGCAGCATCTACTGTCAACACCCGAAGGCCACGCATCTAGATCGCGCCAGGCTTTTGAAAGGCCAGAATTGCCTTCAAGAAATGACCGGTTTTCTTTCCTTGATACTGGTCGGCGCTCTGGTAGCAACGTCCTTGAATCAGCCACCGAGACACATGCGCCGGGCAAATCCCAATCCTCGCCCAAGTCCACACCTGATCCCAAAGCTACCACCAATACATCTGCCCCAGCCACGAATGAGACTACACAGCGCGTACCAATCACTACCCTCAAGAGGAGCCCCGCGCGCAAGGAGAATATTACTCCCCCATCCCTCCGCAGTCACAAAAGCTCCACCATCTCCCCGCTAGGTCTATCGACGCGACCAAACTCCCAGCAACTACTGTGTACGCCCCGCCGTAACTCACCCAGCACCAACGTTCACACCCTTGAAACACCGTCAGCAAAGAAGAATACCAGCTCAGCAGAAATAGTAACGCCCCTCCGTCCTCGTATCCGCGCAACTTTACGGCCCATGTCGCCCGAGAAACTCGCTCGTAGACCACGAAGCGCCTTCGACCTCCGCGGCACCAACAATACAGGTCGTCCCGCCGTCATAGACATGGATAACTACTCTCCACTTCCTGGCTCAGAGCTCCGTCGTCCAGCACTAACACTGAAAACTTCGACTAGTTCATTGGCTATGAGTAAGGAACCGTATCCTGAGACCAGAGTTTCTGTTGGGAGGGGTATTGAAAGTGTGCTTGGCGGTGAAAGCCCTGGGAACGGAGGCAGGGATGGCAATGTAACACCAGGTCAGCGAATGGCCGACAAATTCTTAAGGCAGAGGAAGAGTGAGAATGCTTTGTCGCCGGGTGGAAGTGCGGGAAAGCAGAGCTTGAGGGGTGGGTTGGTGTTGGTTAGGGAGGATACGCCTGCGTTCTTGTGACCATACAATTATCTAGAGATATGTGTATCGCGACAGAGATATGGCGATGGGACTCTTTGGATACACGTAAGGGTGGATATGCATGACATGGGGTTGGGTAATTGGATGGTCTTTGATGGGATATGGGGGCTTTTGGGCGGTTTTGCTGTTCGGTTGGCTACTTGGTATGGTATATGCCCGGTATTTTGTAGTTTTGCTGGCATCAATCGCAGTTACATCTTTACGTGTTCACGTCTCTATATGCATACTCCGAAAAATACAAATACACAATAACAGGGTATTTTACTACAAAGGAAAAACGCTGATGTTGAATCCACCTCTTCTCTCTCCTCCCATCCCTTATCTACCCATTCCCTTTGACTCATCACAACAACTCCCCCTCCTCATCCAACCCCCCTTCATCCTCTTCCTCCTCGAAATCCATATCCGCCGCCGCCTCATCCGCCTTCCTCTGAACCTCCTTCAACCCACTCATCTCCTCAACCCAACCCCTCTCATTCAGCGCCCTAGCCACAAACTCCCACGGATCCTTATTATACGCCTCGAGCACCCTATCGCTACACGCAGAGCAGCAGTCATAGGGTTTGCCTTCGACTTGCAGGTTCGAGAAGGTGGATAGGTAGCCTCTTATCGTATGGGGAATTGTACCGAGGGGGTGTTGGAAGGGTGGTGGGAGAGCGGGGTGTGAAGGTGCGGGTGTGGGGGGAGTGTTGTTTTTGGGTTGGATGGAGGGGGGTGCTGCGCGGGCTTGGGAGGGGTGCTGCAGGATGGACATGAGGAGTTCGACGAGGAGGGAGGAGGCGAGCGGGGCGACGCCGGGGCGGGTTACGGTGCATTGTTGGTCGAGGGTCGCGTTGCTTAGGGACTGTTTTATTGGGGTTAGCGGTGTGAATCTAGAAGTATGGGATAAGGGAACTTACATCTGCGGGCGCAACGACGTCGTTGCAGAAGTAACATCCTAGTTCTACTTCTCCCCTTCCTTCTTGCGTTGTCTTCAGGCCGTGGCGCATGACTACGTAGGTGTCGAAGCCTAGTGCGGCGTTGAGGACGATCTTCCCGTAGGCTTTGCCCATGACGGTCGGCAGCCATCTACTCTCTCGTGTGTCCATGAGCAGGAAGATGGCGTCGTGTTCGCTGATCAGCTGCTGTAGCTTCTCAAACTCGGCCTTTGTCTTTGCGCTATCGGTCATTGGGTGACCCAGCATCGGTACCTCCATGACGTGCCCTTGAGCGTCAACGCCTGGGTATATCTCTTGCAGAGCCTCTGCCGCCCTTTCGGCCTTCTTTGCGCCGCCTTGTAAACAGTCGTTGAAGTTGAAGAGAGGCTGCCGTACGGGGTTAGAGAAGCTGACTGTGGCGTTGTCGATGAATGTGATCTTTCTTACACCCCATCCCATCAGCGTTCTTGAGACGTAGGTGCCTAATGTTCCCGCTCCGAGCAACAGACACTTGCAGTTCTTGATGACGTCCAGGTCGATGGTAGGAGCTATCCGCCACTTGATCAGCTTGAGGTTGAGGTCCACAGCCTGATCTGCCAGTTTGCGCTCGTCCATGTATTCAGAAAGATCCACGTTGCGCGATGTCAGCTTGCCTGATTCTGTCCGTTCCCAGCCCGTTACTTTGGGCAACTTGGGTGTCTGTGGGCGAGTGTCTGGTGTTTCGGAGGTGGGCACTGCCTCGGGTATTGGGTCTGACCGTAGTTGCAGGATCAACGAGTTGGAGTGGTCACGTCGTGTGTGGGTGTCGCGATAACACATGATTTGAGCGTCGTTGAGGTGCCACCGATTCCGCATCAGCACGAGCAAGTTGCGAAGGGGCCAGCCTGGGTTGGTTTCGTATGTGGAGGGGTCGGCGAAACATATGAAGCGATCTTTGCTATCCACCTTGTCGAAGAAGCCCTTTTCGTAGGCCTCCAGTCTGCCTATGGACCATGTGTATCCAAATTCTTCCAAGGGTGAGACGGGCGTTTTTGGCCTCTCTTCTGGATCTCCGCCACCTTGTATGCGCTTGGCTAGGAAGAAGCCTCTTTGGCGGACGTCTGAGCTATATCGCCACGTCTGCACCGCGTCTACCAAGTATGTAGTCTCCCTAGAGTGTAGCCTTGTTGCCTCCCCAATCTGCTTCCACGGTGGATCTGACTGTATGGCGGGGAAGCCAAAGTGGTATGTGAACTTGTACTTCTTGAGGTTTGCGAAGATGATGGCTGTGAAGGAGGAGAGGAGGGAGGGGCATTCGTATATCGAGCCGTCGTGGATAGCATCCCATATCTATGCCGCGTCAGTTTTGATCGCAGGGAGAGATGTTGGACGTACTGTTTGGGCGCATCGTTCGAGTATGGCGGCGCGATCGAGACTCTTGTAGTCTTCTATCGTGTTGCAGTTCTTGATGATGCCTTCGGCGCGGCAGAACGTTGGAGGGGTATCGTCCGACGTCAGCGCATTCGGGTGTATCTGTACTCGCATAGATCGCGACGAGTGCTCTCCAGGACGGACTTCGTACAGGCCGAGCACCTTGCGCGCGGAATCGTCGAGTTTGTCATGGTTGATTTTGATGTGCGCGAGAGCGGCATAGAACTGGACGTCGACATCACTCAGCCAGGGCGCAAACTTGAGGGTGGACATGGTGGGCGGTAATAGCAGATGGTGGGGTTGCGATGAGACGGAGTGAGGATGCGTGGCGAGGCGGAGATGTAGTATGCAGGGGATGTGTCCTAGCAGGCGATGATGATGCCAGTCATACGAACAAAAGCAATACACGTGCAGCTGTCAAGAGCGCCTGCGTGTGACAGTGAATGTCCTAGTGATGCTGAGGCAGCCGCACGCTTCACCCCGCGCGCCGTCATGGGTCCAGCCCTGAGCGATCGATGAGCGAGGCCCCGCCACGCTAGACGCGTTCCTGCAGCCGACCACGCGCTTACCCGCTGTTAGCAATCCGAGATTCGATCCACGAGTCCGCCCTTGCTGTTCCCAGGATACAGCACATCTAGACGACATCTATCGCTATGCTTATTGGATTGTGCGGAGGCAAGCACCGTCCGAGATTATATGAGACGAGGCTGACAGGGCACAGGAATATGCGCGGGCAAGTCGTCGATAGCTTCGTACCTCGTCGAGGAGCACCAGTTCATCCGCCTACGCCTGGCGCGAACTGCTGAGACGCCCCCAGAAGAGAAGTCAGCTTCCAACACACGTGTCCCTTCGCCGGTCAAGTCGTCCGTAGACGCACGGCATACCTTCCCGAGCATCGATTCGCTACTCGACTTCGTCACGTTGAGATGGAGAGAACGATTCGTTACAACGGATATATGGGACGAAACGGTCGTTGATGCCCTGCTGAGGCGTCCTTTCTTCCTCCTCGTCAGCGTCGACGCGCCTGTCAGTGTGCGATGGCAGCGGTTCAAGGCCCGATGTGCTGCCACGGACCACACACCGCCTACTCTCGAGGAGTTCGTTCTACGCAATGACAAGCACTTGTTTGCTCCCAGAACAGGCCTAAGCGCCCTCTGTCAGAGAGCACAGCTGAAGCTACTTAACTCGTCGTCCGACATGGCTTCCCTGCGTAGTGCCATCTTGTTCCTGGACCTCATGGACGAGGCCCGCGTACGGCCAAGCTGGGATCAATACTTCATGCAGTTGGCAGACCTGGCAGCGCGCAGGAGCAACTGCATGAAGCGACGAGTCGGTTGCTGCATAGTACGGGAGAAGCGTGTGATTAGCACCGGGTACAACGGTACCCCACGTGGCATGACCAACTGCAACGAGGGCGGATGTACGTTCACACTCGGGAATCCCCACGACATAGACTAACAACATACAGGCCCCCGCTGCAACAACGCCGCACAGGGAGGCGTTGGTCTCTCCACCTGCCTCTGCCTGCACGCCGAAGAAAACGCCCTGCTCGAAGCCGGCCGTGACCGCATCGGCGAGAACGCCATCCTATACTGCAATACATGTCCCTGCTTGACCTGCAGCGTCAAGATTACACAGGTTGGTATCAGTGAGGTGGTCTATAACCAAGGCTACCTCGTGGACGACCAGACGGCCAAGATCTTTACTGAGAGCGGCGTCAAGCTGCGCCAGTTCTCGCCGCCTGCAGACGGACTAGTGGATCTGAGCATCGGCGTGGGCGCAGACAAGCAGGAAGAAGACAAGGCAGAGGATGCCAGAGAACTACTCGATGATATGAACTTCCTGCGGCCTGTGGACAATTAGAACAAGCTGTCAGCATAGACAAGCCAGATAGAAACCACGCCATCCGACACGCATGTAGTCAGGTGGGAAAGGCTGTTGGCGGCGCGTGGTGGCGCATGGCGTTGCTCAAGGCCAACGCCTCACGAGGTGCGTGCGCATGTCAAAGGCCACTACATGTCTTGGGCAACGACATCATGCCAATTCCGGTGCCTACAGACCTTCTGTTGGCCATCAATTGCGATGCGCATCGTTCCAACTTCGACATGCTAGGGTTGGCGTTCGGGTACCGACGATGAAGGGATAGCTACAAGAAGGGCTGGCCATAGCATAGCCTTGCCGGGCAACACCGCCACGACCGCACACGCGACCGTCAGCAACGGTTCGGTTCGCCCGCGTGGCCCTTCTCATATTAACAACCTCAAAAACGCGCAACACTTAGACTTCGCATTCGGCCCATGACGTTTGACCTTGAGTTCCGTAACTCGTGTTGCTGACTCCTCATTTCCCCGCCTCAACAGTACCCTGAAGTTTAACAAGCTTCGGCCCGCCTTGTCGGGTTGAACTTGGGCCTGATGACGCGCCCACGCGGCGCGGTACCAACACCGTCACTATCACGGTCACCGCCATGCGATAGCAACATGAATCTTTCGTAATTCGCTTTACGAAGACATACGGGAGAAATACCGCTTGTCGTCGTCAATGTACCTACGGTAACCGTGCTATCGTCCGTCGCTCCACAAGCTTGACCAAGCCTCGACAAGCATCCGCTTCCGAGGCTTACACTCTGAGCTGGTCTGGGCACATCGAATGCACTAAACAGAGCCGCGGCGAATCAACGCCAAACATCATGCGAAAATCTCGGTCTAATCTTCGTGTAGTCCTGCTTCAGGAAGGTGCCTAAGGTTGTGCTTCTGTTTGTACTGCGTCATCTCGCATACCTCGTTGGTGCTCGCCCTTCGGCTACAAATCTCAACGCGATAGCATGCCCTGCACGACCCGGAAAGTGGCGTTTGCGAGGTTTATTACCGAGCCTTGCTGATGCCTCCGCCAACCTCCTGCTCTTCCGGGGTAAGCGCAAGGGTTTGTATACCGCAATGCCGTCACGTAGCAAACGTTCAAATACTCGCCTTGGGCCCGGTTCTTCCGTGCCAGCTCACAGCCGCTTTCATCAGTCAATTCCAAGATGAAGCTCCTTTCGGTGGTTGGTTCTTTGCTGTGTGCTTCTACAGCTCTTGCTGGAAGCTCGCCACACAAGCGTGGTGTGTTTGAGAAGGTCAGGCCTGCTGTCGAGAGGCGTATGCCGGGAGAGGCTTTCAAGCATCCCGAGATCCAGAGGCGTGCCGAGAGCTTCTTCTTGACCAACAAGACTGAGTGTTAGTATTCATTGTCATACTGTGATACATCAGACTGATAAGCCAATAGCCTTCGCCGTCAACGGTACTGGTATCCCAGAGGTTCCTTTCGACATTGGCGAGAGCTACGCTGGTCTGCTGCCCATCTCGGATGATCCGGAGGAGACGCGAAAGCTCTTCTTCTGGTTCTTCCCTTCCACTCAGGCTCAGACCCCCGAGGAAGTTGTCATCTGGCTCAACGGTGGCCCAGGATGCTCTTCGCTCAGCGGTTTCCTTACGGAGAACGGCCCGTTCACCTGGGAATCTGGCACCCTCGCCCCAGTCCAGAACCCTTACTCATGGACCAACCTCACCAACATGCTCTGGGTTGAGCAGCCCGTAGGTGTTGGATACTCGCAAGGTACTCCCAACATCACCGACGAGGTTGAGCTTGGCAATCAGTTCCGTGGTTTCTACAAGAGCTTCGTTGATCTCTTCGGACTCTACAACTGGAAGACCTATATCACCGGAGAGTCATACGCTGGTTACTACGTCCCCTACATTGCCGACAGCTTCATCACTGCCGACGATGACAAGTACTTCAACCTTGCCGGTATCTCCATCAACGACCCCATCATTGGTGACGAGACCATCCAGCAGCAGGTTGTCCTCCTCCCATTCGTAAACTTCTGGCAGAACCTGCTCTTCCTGAACGACACGTTCATGGAGCAGATCACCCAGCACCACAAGGAGTGCGGTTACACCGACTACATGGACAAGTACTTCACCTTCCCCCCACCACAGGGCGCTTTCCCCGTCCTCCCCGACCCGTACAGCTCGGAGAACTACACGTGCGACCAGTTCGACAACTTCTACTCCGCTATCCTCGAGGTGAACCCCTGCTTCAACATCTACCACATCACCGAGACATGCCCGCACCCATACTCCCAGCTCGGCATAGTCAACACCGGCGACTACTCGCCCCCAGGCGCCGAGATCTACTTCAACCGCACCGACGTCAAGATGGCACTCCACGCCAACGTCAGCACCGAGTGGCTCCAGTGCACCAACACCAACGTCTTCGGCAACGGCGACGACGAAGGTTCCGACCAATCCCCCGGCCCCGCCAACAACGGCGTCCTCCAGCGCGTCATCGAGTACACCAACAACACCATCATCGGCTCCGGCGACCTCGACATGCTCCTCAGCACTAACGGAACTCTCTTCGCTATCCAGAACATGACCTGGAACGGCGCCCAGGGTCTTTCTGAGTACCCCACCACCCCTCTGTACGCTCCTTACCACCCTGAGTACAACGGCGGTGCGCTTGCGGGTGCTGGTTACCAGGGCTACTGGACCGCCGAGCGCGGTATGATGTTCTACACTGCCCGTCTTGCTGGTCACGAGCTGCCTGGTTACACGCCTGGTGTTGCGTACCGCATGTTGGAGATTCTCCTCGGACACATCAAGGACTTCAGCAGCACTGAGAACTTTGTTACGCAGACTGGTAACTTCACTGGTACTGGAACGATTTACAGGAGGGGTCTTGGTATGGACAGCATGCAGTTTTAGATGCGCGTCCTGAGAATGCGATGATATAAAGGAAGAATATATATGAATCTAAGTGTTGAACAAACAATCTATCTGCATACCATGCGTATTGTGTGATGAGTCTGTTATTGTGAAGATGCGTGACAATCTGCTCTTCGATGGGTCAATCGCTGACTCGGTTCCAATCGCCGCTGCGACCCGAATACCCCACCACACAGATTTTCACTGCCCAACCAACATCTTCCACAAACCTCCCCGATACGTAGCCAGGAGTGATGCAAGCAGCTGACGGTATTGAGGCCGGATCAATCAGGTTATTTACTATACGTTCTTGAGGTTTGCCATCAACCACCTACTCAACAATAAAGTTGATCAATCTTCAGTAGTATAGTGGTCAGTATTTCCGCTTGTCATCTTGCAAAAGACAACTCGCGGGAGACCGGGGTTCAATTCCCCGCTGGAGAGACTTCCTTTTTGCTGTTCCTGCTTCCCCGTAGCTGTCCACAGTCTTGGTCGATGGCATGGCATGAAATGGATACGTGATTAGTGATCATGTGTATGCTTTTTGCACGTCGCGGAAGCTAGGCATTGTAGATAGTGTTGGAGTGGTTTGGGGACGCACGGGAAGTGTGTGGGCTCTGCAGCACACGATGTATTGTTTTTGTTGTAATGGTGCTTGGGTAGTAGGGTCCGTGTGTTTAGACATGGCACGACCGCGGAAGCTAGGGATAGTGGTAATAGTCTAAGGGTGCATACAAAGTGTATGTAGGATGTTATGTGTTGTTTTTGCGAAGGGTGTTTGGGGGCTTGGGTCCGTGGTTTTGGTCCGCGGAAGTGCATTATGCGAGGCGGGAGACCCAGGATACTAGGTATCTACTAACCAGATGATGCTTTTGGTGACTATAGAAATGCGCTTCTTGGCTATACATGTGCTTCTTCAGTCTGGACTTGGGTGGAAGCTAGATACATCCCGAGGTTCAAAGAGGCGCGTTAGCTACGCGGCAGCGCAACGTTGCGGGAGCCCCGGAGGTGTCCCGCCTGGCCGCCTGCACCGCGAGTCCCCAACCATCACCTACGCGACAGCTTGACTACTGTACTTCTTACGAAACCTGCATGATATATATGTTTGAAGCGCATTAATCATTAGGTCCGCGGATGCCAGACGCCACACGACAATGCTATGTAAAAGCAACCACCGTCAACCTTGGAAAGACGCGGCACAGTTGCGTTGCTTGGACCTGCCGGCCACCTTTCCCAGCTGCCAAACGCTGGCACGCATCGATACCATCAAACTCCCAACCTGCAGCACATCGAGAGGACGGTCGCAGGAACCCTTCAAACAGAAAACGCTGAAGAGCATACACGATACTCCTCGATAGTCACAAATCCCAGTCCCAGACACACCGCAGTAACCTTCCAGTTTCCCTTCTCGGGAGTCGCGGACACAGGCGCGGATGCCTCGTCCCTGCTTCCAGACCCGACCTTTTTTGAGCGGGTCTGAAAAGATGTCTATTCTTGCGAAGAGGGCGATGTTGAGCCTAGGTCGCGAGCGATGTTACCCACACTCCTTCGCCGCCCATGCCCAGTTTGCTGTGTTACTCTGAGCAAGCCTAATGACGCAGCAATGTCAGTGTTACCAGTGCTGCGCCTAACATTGGGCGTGTCATCGAGGATCAAAAGCATGCCTTTCTCGACGACATCCAGAACATGCAGTAATTCGTGTTCGAACGCGCTCTCGTCTCGTAGCCTCTGAAGCATCTAGCAAGCAGTCGTTAGCTCTCGCTTTACAGTGTTAATGGATATGCGCTGACCTTGACTACAGGAGGATTGAGCTGTGCGAAACCTTCCGTGATGACGAAGAAGCAAGAATTTCTATTACCAGAATCGCGTTCGCGTTCGCGTTGGAACTCTTTTAGAAGATCCTGTCCCCCACAGTACCAGCACACGAACTCCAAAAACACGCATCCAAGTGCCCATACATCACACTGAGGGCTGAGTTTTCCGTGCGGCAGTTGGCACTCGGGTGATTGATAAGCCTCTGTGTAGGGAACAGTGTGCTTATCTTGCGCCGAAATTGCTTCTTCTTCGCTGAAATGCGCGCTCCCAAAGTCAGACAGCTTCAAGATGCCCAGATCTGTATTGGACGACTCCGCTGAAGATGCGCGAGGGAACCAAAGGATGTTCTTGGGCTTGATGTCGCCGTGTCGGCCGGACAACATAAAGTCCCGCTGCCTGATCGATCCATTCGATTGTGAGCGATGTCGCCCAGCTCCAGCCTCTGGTACTGCGAATGTGATGTTGCCAAGCATAGTTGTACTCGAAAATGTCTTGTATCGATGTATGTAGGAGACCGCCTCAGCTAGGCCATGACACTGTTCCTTCAACCAGGTAGATAGTGCTGCATTGTCATGACACGTTCGTGGATCTTTTGTTTCCCAATACTCAGCGAGGTCCATCTCAGCCCAAGGAAGAATGAGGCAAAGGTGATTGTGTTGCTCGTAAGTCGCGAGTAATTTCACTAGATGGCGGTGCGCATGTTCTTGCTTGCCCAGATTCTGCAGTACTTTCAATTCATGAAAGGCGTCACGACCCCGGTTGCTGATGAAGATCTTTTTCACTGCAACGATATTATTAAGAACCTAAACATGCGATTAGCCAACGAGAAAGACGGTGCAAATGGTCACTTACTTCTTTGTTGTCAAATGCATGATGATCGTGATGAACTTTAGCTTTGTGTACTTGCCCAGACCCACCTTTGCGACCAATGTTGTCCCATTCTGTGAATGGTAAGATGTGGTTTTCAGAAACTTTGCAGTGCGATTCTATGCTACCGTTTGGCCTACGGAAGAAAGGCGCAAGAACCCACCACTGGTATAGCACGAATTGACTCACATCGTACGATCTCTTTAGGCACTTCAGTACCGGTTGCGCTTCACCGAAGCGCCGCAGTCTGAGGACATCTTGTTGAAGAACAAGAGGCAAGTCGGCATCGCAGACTCGTTCTCTCACAAAAGACCATATCTTGCGTGGTCGATGCATCAGCAGCAGGATTGCGAAAATCCGTTGATAAGAAGGCCTGTCGAGTTGGGCCGTGGCGGCAGGGTTGGGCGGACTCGCCTGGCCGTGTCGCGCCCCCTCATCATCTGCGGGCAAGTCGATTATGATATCGACAGCCAATCGCCGATTGCGCCGCAAGTATTTCGTCGGAAGATGTACTACCCTCGATAGTTCACGTTCGACTGATGTTGGAGTAACAAGCGTGTCTAATTTGCCTTTGGGTAGGAATTTTCGCTCGGTGGATGGCTCGCGGATCAAGGCTATTCGAAGTTGAACACCCAGGCGATCCTCGTCAACAACATGGCCGCCGAGAGTCAAGTCTTCTGTTCTCTGACGAGGTACTCTTTCCATAGTTCCCTCTCTCTCTCTTCGTGTCGTACTTCCATTCTCTGCAACGTATGGTGGCGAGTGGAGGACAGCTGAGTGAGGTCTCCGTGGAGCCCCTTCTTCCCTTGGCTCTCTAGGGGTCGTGGCCAGCAACCCACTTTCAGAAAGAACCTTTCTGTGACGTTGTTGAGCCGGTCCTCGGATCAAAGCGCTCCAACTCAAACGACTTGTGCTAGGCCTCTGACGATATGGCAGGGTTGTGCTCTCGTTGTCTACGTCGGTTGCCGATGCTGCTCTTGCAGGTTGCGTCACGTCGCTCTGCATCGCGCTGTGTCACCTGTCATCAGCTGTAGTCTAATGGAGAGACTTCAGGATTTGTATACCTAATCACGCTTTGATTCGTTCACCCTGCAGCGTAGCGTTTCTCGTAGATGAATTAGGCAAGCTCTTTTTCGAAGCATCCGTTCGTTCGATACTTCCAAGGTTGTGCAGATATCGACATGTCTTCTGCATCACCGACTGGACAGGCTAAACGATGACGCGAAATCAAGTTGTCCCGCCCACTTATCATGGCTACTCGGTTGTAAGGCATGTCAGCTGTAGTGGCTTCAGTATATCACATGGATGGTAGGAGGACCTTCAGCCTCGACCCCGCAGTCACCGCACGGGCATCCCGTCCCGCTTCCAGGCCGCCTAAGCAATTTGCCTTGCCGCTGCCTTCTTCTCACATCCCCACAACACCCACTTACACCTTACAGCTGCACACCAAGTCCAGCCACAATATCGAACATGTGCGCCTGATCACGAATGTCTGCATGTAGCAGTCCGGGATCATTCGAAAGCCTTATCTCTGCGCGCTGATTTGCTAAGCAGAGCCTCATCTTGGACAATGTCGGCAAGACGATGGCTCTACTCCCAAGCAGGATCATTACAGCGGGCGGCTGGGGCCATTGGCTTTCTACACATCTGTAGGGGCGATGTCAGCTCTTAGCGAACAACCGCCCGGGGGGGCCGAAGAGCCGCAACAGTTGTTCCCGAGGTCTGACGGAGCTTAAATGCCTACCGTTGGCGGGTCAGAACTCGCGTCTCCCTGGCGTTATGGTTTGTCGATGATACTACCGGATCTGCAACAATCTATCGACAGGTAAATCCACGACTGAAGACACCCCGCAAAATATGTCCGCAAACAGCGACCAGACGAAGGAAAGCGACGACAATCAGGCGATGGAAATGACGTCTGAAGACAGTTACCAGTCAGAATCCGAAGCCGATTCCGATTCCGAGTCGACGCCTCTTCAGTCGCTATGGAACAGCCTACGGGCTTCCATGAGCACCAGCATGTTCGAAAGAACAGAGACCAAATTGTTTCTCCCCAGAGACACCTTCGAGCAGATATTATCACGTACCGAAGGAGGTCTGAGTGGCAGACGCAAGCTCATACTTGAGGTTATGGGTATAGAATCGAGCAGGCCTAGCGAAGACGACAGAGCACTCGCAGAATACATTCTGGACAGCGCACAGAAGGTTTTTCTCATAGCCGTTTACATACAATTGGAGCAACTCCATGCGGCTATGAAACTTTTCAAGGTTTCTCAGTACAAAGATGAAAAATTGCCAGTCGAAGAACGTACAGCACGAGAACTGGATGATACACCAAGGCGCCATGAATTCGAGCGAATGGAGAATCGTCAAAGGGACCGTAGGAGAAAAGACAGGAAAAAGAATCCAAAACGCATATGGGATATCCATACAATCAGCAAATTCCAGGACAACCAGTGGACGTTTCTGATACCAATCATCTCAGCTCATGATCAGAACTGCAATTTTGACAGCCGCTGTCCAATACCGTTCACTACGAAGAACGCACAGCAAAGAAGCGGCGCACATGGCATTGTATACAAGTATACTATCCACCCTGCGCATTACAAGAATTCACTTCATCAGGTAATTCATGTCATAGTCCAAGATTGACTTGGTTATGCGGGCTAACGGCGGATCGCAGTACGAGACCGAGCCTTCCGTGGTCGCTGTCAAGGCCTTTCGGACCGGCGGCAAGAACGTGGCTGGCGATGTGAAAAGAGAAGTCGACGCGTTGGCCAAAATGAACCAACTCGGACAAAAACATATTGTCCGGTTCATCACGTCCTTTCAGCGCGGTACACAAGAGGATCTGGAACACTATGTTTTGTTCGAGTGGGCGGACGGCGGGAACCTCAGTGACTTTTGGCATCAACCACAAACACCAAAGCGGACGGCCTCGTTAGTCAAGTGGGTAATCGAGCAACTTTGTGGACTTTCAAGAGCGCTCAGAGCAGCCCATTATATGCCAAACGGGGCATGTTACCGCCACGGTGATTTGAAACCTGGCAACATCCTCTGGTTCCCTGACAGCGATGGATATGGCACGCTCAAGATCGGTGACTGGGGTGAGGCAAAGATTCACAATCAAGTTACTGCCTTGCGCCACGGTCGCGTGGACACAACTGCGAAGTACGGCACAAGAAGATACGAACCACCAGAGACTGGCCTGCATCCGCTTCTGCCGAAGGGGACTCCGCATGTAAGGTCCCGCTTATACGACCTCTGGGGTATGGGCTGTATCATCCTCGAGTTTATCATCTGGCTGTTGTACGACCATGAAGAGCTCAGTAGATTCAACAACAGTAATCAAGGATACTTCGGTCCTTCTGACATGTTTTACGAGATTAGTCACGAGATCAGTCACGAGAGAGTTGTACGAATCCATCGCGTTGTGGAACACTGGATGGAGCACATGGCGAAGGACGGACGGTGCCATTCAGGTGAAACGGCTCTCGGAATTCTCCTCCAAATTGTTCGTACAGGTCTTTTGGTCACTAAGCTTCCCGAAGATAGTGGTCCGGCCGGTTCAGCTGATAACGGGATGCCTTCCTTTCCGCATGATGACAGCCCATTGATCAGCGTCACCACGCCAGATTCTACAACTCATGAGATCATCCATGATTCGTCACCAAACCCGCGGACCAGATTTCCTGCCCATAAGCTTGAGACGGAATTGCTCCGAATAGTTCAACTCGGAGGAGGTGAACACTACTGGTATCGAAACCAGGGGCCAAGATCAGCGCCAGGGGACATCATTGGCATGCCTCATCTACCGGTACCTACTGGCCACAGAGCGCACTCTGATGTTCTCACCACCCCTGCAATTGACATGGTCGATTATGCGCATCCATCATTAGATCCAGAGGAATGGGAGCTCGAACTCGATAACGACTTTGCTGCGACTCTATCGTCTCGGTTAAGAAGTATCATGGGAATGTCTCCGCATGAAACTCCGCAGTCAGCGAAGCTGTGCACCATTTGCAGAGACTTTCAGGGAAGGCTACTGGACGCAGAGTTTGCAATCTCCTATGCTACGCAAATACTCCGAATAAATTCGGAGGCCAAGAGCTGTGATCTGTGCTATTTGCTATGGCAAAATTGCCGCGACAAATTGGATGGAGGATGCGAAAGTGTGCATTTACAAAGGACGGGTTCTGCTATACGAATAAGAGGCTTGAAGCATCCGGTACTTACCGTATTACGGAGCGATGGTAAGTCACCGCTCTAGCTTTGAAACGACTATCTTTTGCTCACTGATGTCTCCAATGTAGCTGTTGGCGGCCGCGCGCATGATATTCAAATCGGACTTCCTGAGCTCTCAGGGGCAGGTACGAATTTGCATCTTCGCTTGATACGGGGTTGGCTTGATGATTGCGATGAAAAGCACTTCGAGCCTGTTTGTAAGCCGCCCGGGGGTACAAAGCTGGCGACGGATACAAGTATCAGACTGCCGACTCGTCTGATTCACGTTGGCAGCGATGATGATCACGACGTCAAGCTCCAGGAGATGCACGGGCAGACTGGGAATATCGGTGACTGGATCGCGCTTTCTTATCGCTGGGGCGATTCCCCACCCTTCTCTACCACTCGACTAAACCTCACTCGTCATATCAAGGGCATGGCGCTGTCGACGTTACCTTGCACGTTCCAAGATGCAATTAAGGTAACTCGTGCTCTTGGAAAGGAATACCTATGGATCGACTCTATCTGCATTGTACAAGGCGAAGACGGTGACTTTAGTTCTGAGTTAAAGCGGATGGAAGATGTGTATAGTGGTGCCTACTGCGTGTTAGCCGCCAGCTGCGCCACCGATCAGAGGTCAGGGTTCTTGCTGCCTCGAGCAAAACGAGAGCATGTCGCCCTGAACTGCGAGAAAGATGGCAGTAGTGAGACGATCTACATTTGCAGTACGATTGAAGATTTCCGTGGTCACGTACTACAGGGCGCCTTGCACAGGCGTGGATGGGTGTTGCAAGAGCATGCCTTGGCCAGACGTACGGTGTTCTTCACCGAGCATCAAACCTATTGGGAATGTGGTCATGGCGTTCGATGCGAAACTATGGTAAAAATGAAAAAGTGGGTGATGGATTCCTATTTCATTTGGCGTAAGCCGTTGGCCGATAGAAGCTAATTGTGTCGTTAGTGAATCCGCTGCTTTGCTCGGGGACCCAGACTTCCCCAGAATTTTCGACCCGGCGAAATACGGTGAGCGCATTCTCAGGTTTCAGGAGCTGTATCGACAGTATTCTCGGTTAGATCTTTCGGCAGATTACGACCGGCCGGCAGCCATTGGCGGCTTGCAACAGCGTCTTCTCCGCACGATGGGTGTGCGTGGCGGATTCGGCATCTTGGACGACCCCAACAAAAGCGGCCTCCTTCACCGTAGTCTCCTATGGCATCGTGGAGAGGAGTTCAAACAATTGAAACCAATCGCATTTCCAAGCGATCGAGAACGTGTGCCGTCTTGGTCCTGGATGTCAGTGTCGGGTGGAATTGACTACTTGGCCTTGACATGGCGTCAATATGATTGGCAAGTAATACAACCTCCGTGGTCACCTTCGCCTGTCAGGGCTCCCAACGCTTTCCATGGAAAAGCACAAGTCTTTGATATCACGGCTGCAAGGGTGAATGAGGATAGTGTTATGTTCGACAATACACTGGATTCGGAGGTTTTGGAGTACATGGCACTTGTGCTAGGCATCGAGAAGGGGCCGAAGGAGATTAAAGACAAGAGGCATTATATACTCGTGGTCAGGCCAAAAGTGAAACCCCTCGCGGATGGTACCGTGCTATACGAACGGGTCGGAGCAGGTTACATACCAGGAAGATGCCTGAGAGGAGAGGCTAGCATCTGTACGCTAGTATGATCCGTAGTCGTGCCTTCTCGCTTGTGAACTTAAGTGTCTGGGCGGTCATCACGTCAATTGCAGTACATCAGAGCCTAGCACCCTATTAATGCTGAAGCAACAACACAGCTGGAATGAAACCATGTATTAGCATACTATTATGTCTCGATCGCGCCTACTTCTGGCAGCATACAACGATCTTCATCCACTTCAAGTGCCAGGGTCGAAGTTGCAGTCGTTGATGATACTGCACACGTATGTCGCAACCTCAAGTACCGAGCCTGGGGTGGGCTGCAGGGAACATAGTACAAGCGCACGGAATATATGGTCTTCTTCCGGGGAAATGGCTCAAGCTATATATCCGATGTACAAGAACCCCATTAAAACGATCTTCTTATAATCGCGTGTCTTCTCATTAGCGAGAGGCTGCCGCGGTTAACAATATACAAGGGCACCAATATCGTCAGACATGAGGCGGTGCTAATGCGGGGTCAGTCGGGCTGTGTAAATGGCTGCCACATGACATTCTACCCCCTCCTTCTCTCCTCTCTGGGGTGTCAGCTCCCGTATCCGCCACCAACCTAACGTTTTAATTTTCTCGTCTTTGCTTTCATTTCGAAGGAAACTGCAAATCGCAAAATCCAAGCCACTTCACCCGAGAAAGTAGTCGGTGCCGATGCCTTCCGCGAGGTGCAGCACTAGTCATTGTAACGAGTGGGCAGCGACGGGGGAAGACTTCTGCCATGGGTGTCTGGACAAACAGCAAGGCCATCATGTAGACTGCCCTCACGTATGGAGTACTCAAAGAACGATGTACGAATATTGCTAAGCATGAGTAAGCCGACACTGCTGACTGTACTGTAGCATACCGCAGAACTATCGGATGCGCACGACTTGTTCCACGATATCTCCGAACTTTCGACCACTATCTTTGCTACCAACGGACAACCACTCAAATGGTCTGACATGTTGCGCCTCGCTTGGGAAATCATGCTCGCAACCGCTTCCACGATACATCTTACCTGATCCTATACCGATGCGTCGGTAGGTGTTGGAATCATGGCCCGATCTTGCAAGGATTAAGAAGTTGTGATATAGGTATCTGCGGTGGTAGATGGAGTAAAGGCTCAGAAGCGTAATCGGCTCCTCCCGTTCTTGGTCGAGAGCGTCGTCATACGTTCTACTTTGCGATTGATCTGAAGTGCCTTGGGTTTCGTTTGCATTGTAGGGTGGTACGGATGCATCAATAGAGAATTCACATGTGGCCCGTTTGTCGGTGTTTGGCGAATACATTGCACCGTCGATGCAGATTGTAAAGGTTTCGAAATCGTGAGAAGACCGCCGCAAAAGAGCTGCTACAGTATGGCCTTGTAGAGTCAATGAACATGCCAAAGCTCTGTTATATGGGCCGTCACTAGCAGTCTTGTAGTGATACTTGATCATCGTCGTGTGCTCAATTCGAGAGCCGGGATATGAGTGGCGCGCAAGTCGAAAGTTTACAGCACCAGGTGACGAGACCCACGACCAACTTGGAGCAAGCCATGTTGACGTTCTTGAAGTCGGATCAACATCGCGTTGCCAGACTAGGTCATAAAGCAATGTCTCCTTCCATCCACCCGCAATATACGTATAGCAGGTTTCTGCTCCGAATTTGTTGGCCAGGCCACTCAGAGCTGGGAGCCTGTCCTCAGAAACTTTCAGTTCCCGAGTTGAGTACTCTTCGATTATTTGACTCCAGCTCTTAGAGATGCTTAGAATCCTGTCCGTAGTCGTTGTTCCAATGAGTACAGGGAAGAGTGGTTGCGCCGGTATTTTGATATGGTGGCACTCGCACTCTTTGGATGTTCTACAGGTCCACTGTAACTCTGCCCCAGTAAAGGCTATAAGTCGCGTTGAGAGCATCTTCTCTTGCAGACCCCATGCTCGTGTATCTAGTGGATCGATGTCTTTTGACCGTCCAGTCTTGGCATGTATACCTCGAGCAATTTTTCTCCTTGCTTTGAATACCACGTCGATTGGACCTCCTTTGAGGTCGCTGAACAGTTCGATTTCTTCGTATATTGGGTTCCGTTTCTGGAACAAAGAGTGGTGCGGGTCCGTCGACAAAGAGGCTGCTATGGTGATGGCAGCTCCTTCATAAATCTGGCCCATTCTTGCAGCTTGCTCTTCCCAATCTGTAGGGCTATCTTGAACTATGCATAGAGTATCAATCCAGAGATAGCAAATGCTCAGACTTTGTGCCATGTCTGCCGCATCTTGGAAAGCTAAAGGAAGCCTGTCTCGGTCGAATCCATGTTTCATCTCTTGATAGTTCCCTGAAGTGGTCATAGCAAATCCACTACTACCCCAAGAATACGATAAAGTAGCATATGTGCCCTCCGTACCTGCAGGTGGCTCGATCACACGGTATTGGCTCCTAGAAATATCGACGATTCGTTTTGGGAGCCAGCTTGGTCCCCGACCACACTGCTCCACATGCTCAGTCACGCAGGTGTAGTAATTTTCCTTTAGAAAGCTCACTGACGCTGCGAAAGTCGATTCCCTTGGAACATCGTTGCCCACTGTTGGATAATTGGGTATCGTGTTTGCTACATAGTGATTGCTTAGCGACGAGCATTTATAGAAGTTCTTCCAGAGGACAGACACTTACTCGAACATGGATAGATCTCCACAATCTCATCAAAGCCTTGTTCACCTGAAGAGTGTAGCTCAGCCGGCGAGTCTGGGTAAAGTAGAAGTTCAACCCGCATCTCCGCAGTTACA